ATTAGAAACTAAGAAACCAGTATAGCGTCATGTGAAGTTTGTTGTCTTTTCGATCTTATCCTGGATGGGTCTCCTCCATGATGTCAGTTTTTTATAAGCGTCAGATTTTTATGTAGACTCGGTCAAGATATCATTGCAATGTTAGTGGTTTGTAGTGTCTGTAGTAGCCCGGCTATAGACTCTTCCAAAGTCGCTTGCGAGTCGTTGAAGTACGCCATAGCTAAAGGGAGAAACTGTTGAAGTTCAATTACTGAAAAGACCATAAACGGTGAGAAAATTAGGTCTCTGTTCCTTCATTTTTTTGTATTGACCTGTGCACACTTCCTAAGAGAGTTTTTAGTTTTTAGCTTCGTTCTCCATAACCTTTTCGTGCATCGGCTCTATGATGCTGCCGCCTCGCCAGCCTCGCGTCTTCGCTCGGCTGGCTCGTTGGCAATTCTACTGAAGCTTTTTCGAGTTTTACGACTAATAGTCCTAATCGGCTAACGCATTGCTATAAACGTTTCCACACAATTCAAACCACCCGGGACTATCGACTGTATTTTCATTTCACAGTTGAATTCTTAGAAACAAAAGTTACAAGTGATGCGGTTACTTTCCCATTAGTATTGCTATGGGAAGGCCTCGGTAACGCTGGTATGAATACTGTTAGTTTTGGAAAAATTAAAAATAATTATTCTTGCTTCACATTAGCCTCTCACGCTCAAAATTGTGTTTCGAAGATCACGCATACTTTCTAAGCCATCAGTTTTATTGCGCTTGTAATTTGAGGCGGCAAACTTCCGCATACATTCAGGCTATTTACACGTACAATTCGACGTTGTAAGGACTTCAACCAATTTTATAAGAAATGTTTTACCTGGACCATAAACTGCGTCTGCACGTTCAGGGCGAGATTCCTTGATTACACCACTATTTTGAATCCCTTCTGCACCATCTTTATCAGTGTAATGATACAAAGTCTTTCCCTAAAATTAAAAAAGAAACTCTTCTCGATATGAATCCACCTCACTTTCACGTCCAGATTCAAAATCTTTGAGAAAAACAAAACAAAATATAACAAAACGCGAAACGAAACAAATCAATGTATGTAACGCGCAGGTTTGTTTTCGAGGGCTAATTAGTTGAGTTATTTTCTTTATTCTCTCTTTTGGTTAATGTCAAAACCCCCATTCCCCCTGCCCAATCTTGTCTTTTCTAATGGTCTTCAAATTTGACGTGTTTCAGTAACAGTCTTAGAGTCTAATATAAAGTTCAAGTTTAACATTAGCTGGTTGATGGGAGTCAAACCTATTAAGTCTGAAAGTGAAAGTGAAAGTGAAAGAAGACATCAATATAAGACGCTTCTTGAATAGTAAATAAATCAACATCAATATAGATAAATCTGTGATCTCATTTAGATCGTCAAGTTTAAAGTATTTTACGAATAACTTTAAATTGTTAAATATGTAGAAGTATATGACTGTAAATACATTTTAAACCACCGTTCAGGCATTAGTGACGAAAAATATTCATGGAAACCAGTTTTGCCGAGCTCAAAACAATCATTATACAAAATAAAGTGTTCTCTACATTATATATTCTCTACATTCTTATCATTATTGTTATAAAGAAAGAAAGAGGAAATTATCACTGGTTTTTACCGATAGTCTATACCGTTATAGTGGTTGAGGGCTAAATGTCTGAGTCTGTTAGACTCAATTTCTTATTGGATCCCCTAGCGCAAGCTATAAAGCGCGTAAAGCAATCACTCCATCACAAACAACAATTACCTTATTAGAACTCATGATCAATAATTCTTTGAAGACCAAGGACGAACTGGCGAAGAAGTACAAGTTGTTTAAAACCAACTTATACGGACAAAGTTCCGGGTTTAAAACACAAGCAGCCCATCAATTTATTCTGGTGGCTTCTTTGACGCTCTTAGAGCGTTCACCCATGCTCCATAATCAGGACATTTTAAAGCGCGAGCTCACGAGAACAATTGCAATCTTTTTAGACTTGGCCAAAAGGTTGTTTGTTCAATCCTCCGCATTGCGCTCTGGACTGAAGCTGAAAAGTGTATAAAAATTCAGTAAAAATCATGCAAATTAATGAGTTTCAATGGAAAGAGTTTTATAAAACACTTCAGCACAGCGCGCAAAAATAATTCAACTATAATACAACAATATAACAAGTGAATATGCCAACAAAACCTCTGGTAGTGTACTACGTTAATGAAATAACTGGTTAAGTTAGTGTTTCAATGATACTACTCGGCAATACCCCAGTTTCGAGATCTTATTTGTGCAGCCTTGACCTTGAAACCATGTAATATATTCTTTTATTCAGCAGAGAATCTATTGTAATGCAAAAATTCTGTGTTCAAAGAAGACAAAAAAATATATGCTTGATTGAATCTAAGCTTGCACAAAATAGAATGTGGAGACTGGAGTATTCCATTGGGCTAATTTTATTCTTTTAGCTTCTCATGTGTATCGCCATATATGGAACGTCATGAACAGGAAGCCCAACAGCAATGGATGATATGTTATAT